AATTTTCTTATCCTTGAAAACATCAGAGGAGATCAAAGAAAGTGCTTTTAATCTGATGTAGCCAAATTACCCTATTGGAATAAATAAAGGACCTCCCATACATTTCTGTTCAATGTGATTACTTGATTAGTAACAGTAATTACAGTAATAGCTATCGTGTACTGAATGCATACTCTGGGGCAGGCTATCCACCAAGTGTTTTATACAGATTATCTCCCTTATTTCTTTTTTTTATAATCCTCAGTTTTCCCCACAAGATTACGAAGTGTCAAAGAGGTTGACTAACTTGTCCAAGGTCATACCAGGTGATAGGACTGGAACTTATGATCAGAGTCTGGCTTCAAACCCTACCATATCATACATGATATGGTACATTCTTTCTGACTAAGCATTGTTCAAGGTCTTGCATATATATGCCAGAGGTTTGATTTTATTCTCTAATTTTTTTAATGCGAATTACTGGCATGAATCTGAATACAAATGATAGTTCTTTGTTGCTCTTTTGAATATTGAGTTATAAATACTGGTCAACCTTTTTGATATATAAGCTTTTGCCCACACTCCTGGGAACTCTACCAAATTATTTAGGCTTTTTACCTTCACTGGAGTTGGAGGAAGGGAAATAAAATGAAAAGGGCTTCTTTTTTTGTTTTAATGTTTGTTTATTTTGAGAGAGAGATGCAGAGAGAGGGAGAGAGAATTCCAAGCTGGCTGCACACTATCAGCACAGAGCCCAGTGTAGGGCTTCTTTCTATAAACCATGAGATCATGACCTGAGCCAAGATCAAGACTTGGACACTTAACCAACTGAGCCACCCAAGCACACCTAAAATGAAAAGATCTTAGGGAATGAAATAGAAGTATTTTTGTCTCTCACCATGCATTAAAGTTTAGGATAATTTCACTTCTAACATAGAAACAGTAGCTAGTTTTTGGTCATGTATTGAGAAGTAGTAAATGGTCCCTGCTTAGGTACCCTTTTTTCCCCCACTCATGTATTTCTACTTTTTGTCTGTACTCAAATAGTGACTAGAGTATCCGATTAAAAGGAAAAGCATATAAAAGGAAAAGCATAAGCAGGAGCACCTGGGTAGCTCACTCAGTTAAGCACCGACTTTGGCTTGGGTCATGATATCACAGTTCATGGGTCTGAGCCCTGCATTGGGGCTGACCCATGGAGCCTGGAGTCTGCTTTGGGTTTTATGTCTCCCCCTCTCTCTCTGCCTCTCCCCTGCTCTCACTTTCTCTTAAAAATAAACAAACATTTTAAAAAGTTTAAAAAAAGAAAAAGGAAAAACATTAGTAGCAAAGGGTTTCTCTATTTTTGCATACTATGAAGAAACAGTGAGATGGAGGTGATCTAGATAAAGCTTTTAACACTCTTTCCAGTCCGTAGTAAATGCTCTTTAGATGTTCAGTATTACTTGTGATAGTTATTACTGTTTTGTTAGTATCTCAAGCTCTTACTTTGATAGTAAGAAATAAGAGATAAAACTGGCTCTTTAGCTAATAATTCCAGAAAGACTAGTAATCATTCGAGCTTTCTAAGAATGGAAGTACTGTATTCAAAATTGTCCTGAAGCGTTGGTAGTAATTACCACTACGTATTTTTTTAATGGTTTATAAAGCAAAGGTATAACAAGACCTGGCTGCATCGAAATGATCACAGTTTCATTACAGTTTCTTGAAAATAACACCATATTTAAAATTTTCCTGAAAAAGTTAAGACCCATTTTTTTTTTTTAAATCTCCGGGTCTGTGTAGCTTTTAGTTTGCTCTCAGTCCAGCCCACAACCTTTGTGTGTACTTTGCTGTTCAGCTTTACAAACCAAATATTTCCAAATTATGTTATTTTGTGCAAACCCAGATAAACCAAGACTTTGAAGGCATATTGAGGTCTGTGATGTTTAATTAAGGACATTGTTCAGTGGTGAAATGGAGTTGCAAATTGTTTTGACACTTCATGAGATAATGTTAGATGAATTTATTTGTGTTAGGTAAGAAACCTGCCAACGTATTTTAAAGTATTCAGGTTTATTAAAGTATTTTAAGCCTTAGTTCTTTAAAAATATGTTACATTTTCAGTCCCTAGATTCATGTTTTGAGTCTTGAATCACAAGATACCCTCTTTTAATTAAAACAAAACCCTTGAAGTTGACGTTTTAAATACATAATAAGAAGGTTAAGTTTTTATATGAGTTCTTTATTTTTAAAAAGTTAATTCACTGTTTTCCTTTCTATATTTAAGAGATGAAATACTTTGAGGATAAAAATGTCATGACCCTCTGTGGATGACAGCATTGGCTTTTAGAGCTTTTGTGCTAGAATTGAAAGGGAAGTATGTCACCTGAACCTGAATCAGGATGCAGTGCCTGCAAATAAATTCAAGTGTAAGAGTATGACAGGAATAAGTTACCACTTATAAAGACACACTTACCTAAACAAACTGAAACCCCAAGGAATTTTCAAATTGTGAAGTAATGGGAACAATCATTTAATGTGGGAGGAAGGAGCTAGTACATGCCTCCCTCCTTGAATGTCTCATAAGATCAAATTATGGAGTGCGATGATTGAAACAAGGAAGACAATTTAGTGGCAGTATAACAGATAGATTACCATTTAACAGAGGCCAAAGCCCTGAGAACTGATTCCGGTAAGGGTAGGGCTAAGATTAGAACACAAAGGTTTTCGGAAATAGGCTGCTACTTGATTATTTGTTTTCCCCCAAGGAGTCATACATTCTTAGTTCTAACCCCTGTAAACATTCCTACACTTGTGTGCAATCACTTTTTTCTTAGTCACTTTGAGACATCTTCTCAGCTTAGAGGAGTCATTTCCACTCAGTCTTTTTGCCTCACCTCTTTTTTTTGTTTTGTTTTTTTTGTTTTTGAAAGAGAGAGAGACTGAGCATGAGTAGGGGAGGGGCAGAGAGAGAGGGAGACACAGATCCAAAGCAGGCTCCAGGCTCTGAGCTGTCAGCACAGAGCCTGACGTGGGGCTTGAACTAACTCACAGGCTGTTAGATCATGACCTGAGCTAAAGTTGGATGCTCAACTGACTGAGCCACTCAAGTGCCCCTTGCCTCACCTCTTGAAAGCATGAGCAGTCCTGCTCTAGTTTACTCTCAAGTGCACACATTGGGGTTAATATTTACTTCATAGCATCATGCAGTCAGTTGTCATAATACCAGTCCCCTGCTCCATTTTAGTACTGCAGTTAATGAGTTATAGGTAAGCATTTGTTTAATGTTGGTCTTCCATTAGAGCAAGTCTTTTCTTTACTGCTACCTTCCCAGCCTCTAACCCGGTGCCCGGCAGAGATAGGCACCCAGTAAACACTTGCTGGATGATTATCAGCAAGAAGCTTCCACTAAATTCTGGTCATGGCAAAGCTGCAGTCTGTACAGATGTGGGAGAATGTGGATAAAGCTGGAGAGATAAGCAGGGACTAGATCCCAGAGGGACATGAAGTCATTTGAAAGAGCTGGTGCTTTGTCCAAGAGCAGTTAAGAGGCCACTGAAGGAGTAGAAGTCCAAGTCCATCTTTGGGTAGACATCCCCCTTCTAGACTTCTAGCTAGTACTTTCTTCCTGGTTCATAGAAAGTATATTTGGCTCATGAAAAGCAAAGTAACATTGTATGTATGATTTATGGTTACATATACAGTAAGTTTCTAATGACATTTCTCGAGTACTTTTCTTATGTTTCATAAAATAACCATTTTATGATTGAGTGGCTTGAGTGGCTCAGTGGGTTAAGCCACTGAGGTGGCTTGAGTGGGTGCTTGAGTGGCTCAGTGGGTTAAACATCCAACTTTTGATCTCAGCTCAGGTCTTTTTTGGTTTTTATTTTAGAGCATGAAAGTAGGGGAGAGGGACGGAGGAACCGAGAAAGAAAGAATCTTAAACAGACTCCATGCCCAGTGCGGAGCCTGACGCGGGGCTTGATCCCATGACCCTGGAATCATGACCTGAGCTGAAGTCAAGAGTCAGATGCTCAACTGACTGAGCCACCCAGGTCCCCCTCAACTCAGGTCTGGATCCAGGGTTATGAGTTCAAGCTCCACCTTGGGCTCTATGCTCCATGCTGAGATTTAGAAATAACTGGTAGAATTTGAATATGTGTGTTTCAACACAGGAATTACTATATTGAGTTTGGGAATCATAGTAAAATCAAAACCTATAATATTTATAAATTTACATTTAAAAATGCAGTTGGTATAAATCTAAATTCTTCTGAGTAATTAGGTGTTACATACCTTAAAAAAGGGCAGACGCAAATAGATACTAAGTTCATGCAAGGAATAAAGTAATAAGTGTTTTATAAAAACAGGTACTTTTTATACTGCGAGTTGTGTTTTTAAATACATTTTAAATGAAAATTATTTTTAGTCCCTGTTCTATTAAACAAGAGGATTTAAAGTCATTTGTGTATAGCTTTTCCAAAAAGTGGTATTTTGAGTTATAATTTAATTTAGATGAAGGTCTGCAATAGTTTTTTGCCAGTTCTATTAAAGAGAAGTGTCTTTGATGATGGAAATGTTCCATATCTGTGCTGTCTAATAAAGCAATCATTAGACCTGAGTGTCAACATATTATCTTTATCTCTTATCAAGTGAATAGAATTTTGAATTAATAGCTTGATTAGTTTAATGCCATGTAATTAAGATAGTTCATTTTTACAGGTAGATTTTTTTCCCCCAGAAATTTAAAACTGATTAGCTTCTTTGGCGTTAGTAGTTCAGACTTGACTGTACAGTGTAAAATTAGAAGCAAGTTGGAGAATTATGAGATAAATTTATGTGTTTAGCTTATGTTCTGGTTTGTGCATTACTGTCATACACATTCAGTGTGTTTTTGAAGGATTATATTAAGGCTTAGTGTATCCTCTGAGGTTACTTTTTTATATATTAAGTGTTCTTGAGTAAGAAGAATTATAGGAATAACTCTTCAGGTTTCCCTCTAATAAATAAGTTTGTTAATAATGCCTTCTTTTTTTCAGGTTGCAAATAGAAGAATCTTCCAAACCTGTAAGGTTGTCACAACAGCTGGACAAAGTTGTAACAACCAATTATAAACCTGTTGCTAATCATCAGTACAATGTAAGTCTTCATGTCTTTCTTCATTCTGTTATATCTTTATTCTTCTCTTAAGTTTTGTAGACTCTTAGGTTTTAAAAGGACCTTAGCAGTCGTGTACCTGCTATTAGGTGCTTGGGTTATCTAGACTGAGGAAGGAATATGACAGTTTGCCCAGCATGGAGAAGATGTTCACTCTGTATCCTAAGTAAAATAATGAGAAGACGACAACTACTATTGAAACTACTCTTGATAAATTTTTCAAAGAAATAAAACACTTCATTTTTCAGTGTTTCCAATGTTTTAAATTACAATCTACTTAAATATTAGTTTGATTTTTTCCCCCATTTTTCCATACCTTTATAAATGGAAATTTTTATGTATTAACAAGAAATTTTAAGTTTGCAACAATGGTAATTTTTCCCATTGATTATTAAAATTGCTTTGCATAGTTTCAGAGTGCCTGGGTGGCCCACTTGGTTAAGCATCTGATTCTCGACTTAACTCAGGTCATGGCCTCATGGTTTGTGGGTTTAAGCCCCACATCGGGCTCTGTGCTGCAGTGCAGAGCCTGCTTGGTAATCTGTCTCTGTCTATCTGTCCCTCCCCTGCTTCCTCCCTGCCTCACTCTCAAATAAAAATAAACTTTAAAAAATTATAAAAACAAAAAGGATTGCTTTGCACAGTTTCAACTTTCATAGGCATTTTTATGGTCTCACACTACCATGGAAAGTGAGGACTGCCGGTATATGTTTTTAAACCATTTTTATTAAAATATATCTTGCATATACTATATGTGTTATATTATGTTATGTTATATACAAACATATTGTATGCATGTTATGTACCAGGCACTGTTCTGAGTGATTCATAATAACATATTGGTCTTCATACTTAACAGAAGGTAACTAACACACTGAGATGTTAGCTTGAGGTTGCACAGCCGGTAACTAACCAGTCCAGGTGTTGAACCCAGGTAGTCTGTTTTAGGAGCCATGCTGTTAATTTACCACTATGCTATGTTGTTGCAGGTCGTTAGCAATACTAAAAGGGCTGAGGATTTGGGGTCTTGAAATACTTGAGACATAAGGGAAAATGTGATGATTTTCTGAAAATACAGTGAAGCCTGAATTAAGTCAAGTGATAACAGTTGATATCTTGTGTCCTACTTTGTTGCTTAACATTTCTCTAGATATACAATATTTAGGAAGATATAATCCCTTTTTAGGACTGGCCTTAAGTATACAGGTTTAGGTGTCACAGGTCAGTATCTATCAAACCACTACTTGATGATATTTGAGTTATTTTACATGAGAGGTAGCAAATGCCTGTAGAGCCAACTAGGCATCTTCCGTGAGCAGGATGCTGAAATTGAAGGTGAAATGGTAGGGGCTGTGATGAACTGGAGTGCACACGCCTCTTCCTAAAGACATTCAGATTTTAAAAATTGCTACGTTGTGTGGATTAAGTAATCAAGTCAAAGTTCATTTGCATCCAGCCAGGCTTTCATTTCTCAGCCTCTGGTTATGCTTTAGGGGAAATGTAAATTAAAAGAAGAGAACAGGCTGAATCAGTGTCTGATAATCCAAGAGGGATATTTTATGTTGTCTGTTGATTGAGACATGTAGATAAAAATCTACCTTTTTGGTGTCTTCATTATCACAGTAAGGACAACAAAAGACCATACTTTCATAAGCTATAAAGAGATCTAACCTTTCTGGAGAGAAGTTTGAGAATTTATATCAAAAACACTATAAAGAATATATCCTTTGACTCAGCAGTCTTGTATCTAAGGATGTATCATAGAAAGACAAGTACCCAAAGTTAAATATATAGTAGTGTTTCTCTCTATTGCTTAAGACAGGCAAAGATTGGAAGCAAATGTCCAAAATTAAGATTAAATACTTTAACAGTTGTTATTTTGGGATGGTAGGAGCTAGAATGATTTTATCCTAGTTTTCTTCTTTATAAAGTCTTTGTGAATTGTTGGAATCAGTATAATGAGTATGTATTGTTTGAATTGTTAACAATGGGCAGTAAAGCTTTTTGTTGGAATAAAGAAAAGTAAGAAAGCTAGGAAAGAGTATTAGTACCTGGCCATGATGATCTCCTACCACTGTTTATAAGACAAAAGGAAAATCAGTCAAAGCTGGCACTTTGCTGGTATCAAAGTTCATATTCTTCGCGGCATTGGCATTATCTCCACCTGGCAGGTATAGAAGACATATCCCAAATTTCATATTTTTAGGATGTTTTTATATTATTTTCTTTTTGCAACTAAAGTAACTATGAATACATTATATTCTGAACTCCTTATTAGGACATAATGATAAAAAACATCTGCCTTAAGACTTTTTAACAATAAGCTGCAGTTCATGGTATCAACCTTTATTAAGGTTGTCATAGCATTGGTGAGACATTATTCTAATGTAGTTATAGTAATGAGCCATATAGTAATCTTTGGAAAGATTTTGTTTATATAAAAATGAAGATTGACTCTAATCTATCACTTTGCATTATTTGAATATTTAGTAATTCTTTACCCCCATGGGAGTATATCAGAATGAATGGGGGCACCTACATAGCTTTTAAAAAGATATTCAGTATTATAGTATAATACCAACTATAGAAAGAGTATAAGCTTTTGTGGAGTACTTGGGTGGCTCAGTCAGTAAAGTGTCTTGACTCTTGCTTTTTGGTTCAGGTCATGATCTCATTGTTCATGAGATCGAGCCCCGCATGGGGCTCTCTGCTAACAGCCCAGAGGCTGCTTGGGATTCTCTGTCCTTCTCTCTTTGGCCCTCTCCCCTACTCATGCTCTGTCTCTCAAAATAAATAAATAGAGTATAAAGCTTTTGTTATTTTTATTAAAAGGACACTTTGATTTTTTTAGTGGTTTGAGAAACATTAACATAATTTAACAAAATGACTTAGGGGGTATATAATCAAGACATTCAATAAAAATTTTAAATTCCATGTAATGTTGAATTGTTTTCAGACATTTCAAACATAGTGGGCAATGTAAACATGAAGCCTGGTATTTCATTGTAACAGTTGAGGATCTTCGAATACAATTTTCAGGATAAATGTAAGGAAAAAACTTTCTACAAAAACTAAAAGAGGGGTTGGAAAATGACATAGATATTTTTAAAACTATATTTGATTAGAAAGAACCCACCTTGCATTTACCCCAGAACCTTTTCCACCCACCTGTAGCACATAAATACATTTACAAATGACCACAGTTGACCCTTGAACAATGCGAGGGTCAGGGGCACTGACTCCTCCCCAACCCCACTCCCCGTACTCAAATCCATGTATAACTTTTGACTCCCCCAAAAACTTAACTACTAATAGCCTACTGTTGATTGGAAGCCTTCCTGATCATATAAACAGTCAATTAACACATATTTTGAATATTACATGTATTATATACTGTTTTCTTACAGTAAAGTAAGGTAGACAAAAGAAACTTATTATGAAAATAATTTCTTCTACAAGGAATAGAAGATACATTTACAGTATTGTATTTATTGAAAAATCCACATAGTTCAAGTCTGGTAAACTGTATGTAGAATACATATGTAATCATTTCCAATTTTTTAAAAATATAATTTATTGTCAAGTAGGCTAACATACAGTGTATGCCGTGTGCTCTTGGTTTTGGGGGTAGAGTCCTGTCATTTCCAAATATTTGATAAGCTCCCACTTTGTACATGGAGCTATTCTAATCATTAAATTCAAATTTATTTCTTTAGTTCACAAACTATATGGGATATAACGTCTACCATACTTGCCATTCAGAAAGCATTTATTGGGCCAAAAAGAATATATGATTAGAATTATAATTTAGAATGTTCCTTCCTTGAAAGACTTGGCCCTGAAAACTCTTGCCTTACCTGTAACATATGACCTGTTAGGTTTCTCTGTAAGTAGTTTTCTTGTACCTTCCATCTTCATTACATTTCTGAAACTTGAAACTAGTTCACGTAGGTCAGCATTTTTCAAAATTTTGAAACACCAATTTTTGTCAGAGTCTTTTTTGGGAAAAAAAAGTTGTGTAAAATGATTCTGTATTAAAAGAGATTATAGGCTCTGATTATATTCTCCTCTTGAAATGAACACTTAAATATATTAAAATTATGGACCTTGGAATTTGTTTAATTCTATATTTTGTAGACATATGAACATTAAATTTTCCTTCCCCATCCTTTGAAGTGTTTGTGAAAACAAACTTTGGGAAAAAATGGCTTGTCAAAGTAGGATTTACAGGAGTGCCATTGAGTGAGGGGAGAAATATTGGAACTTGTATTTATCTTGTTTTTCATGCAATAAAGGAAAGAAATTGAGCTTTAGAAAATACTGTGGATTGACCCTAGCACCCTCATGCAGTCCCTATGCTAGTCATTTTTCAGCAGAAGAGTAAGAATTTTGTAACACCGATGGTTTGACAGGGGTATTTCCAGCACCTCACATTTTCATTTGCTTTCAGCTTTTTAGGTCCGATGCTAAATTAAGAGGTTTATATTATAGTACCTATTATTAGTTAAAGTCAGTCTTCTAAAATGAACAAATGAGAGGGCGCCTGGGTGGCTCAGTTGGTTGAGCGTCCAACTTCAGCTCAGGTCATGATCTCAGGGTTCGTGGGTTCAAGCCCCATGTAAGGCTCTGTGCTGACAGCTAGCTCAGAGCCTGGAGCCTGCTTCAGATTCTGTGTGTCCCTCTCTCTCTGACCCTCCCCTGCTCATGTTGTCTCTCTCTCAGAAATAAATAAAACATTAAAATTTTTTTAATATTAAAATGAACAAATGGTTAAGTTTCCTGTAAAGATAATATACTAATAATGCAAATATATATGAACAAGAAAGTGGAAAAACTGACACTTCTAGCTAAAATGACCTCTTTATCAGTCATTGTGTGAGGTAGAAACAATGATAATGTAAATCTGATGTGACAAGAACTTGGCCCTGGAATTCCAAAAAGGAAATTAGCAATATCATTTTAAATGTGGCTTGTCATCCCTG